TCTGTTCTTTTACTTTAGTTGGCAGAAGTTGGAAGAAACGTTTGTGTTGCTGTTGTTCATGAAATAGATGCCTGTAGTGAGTATTTATCAGTGCAGCTTAAGCAATGCACCATGACTGAATTTTTGATTGCTGAAAGAGCCCATCCAATTGAAATTCTCTGCCAAATGCAGGTTGTTTATGGTGATGATTGTGGATGTCAGTACTGTGTGTCACTGGAGCAACAAATGTATATATGGTGAACCAGGAAGAGCTGATTTGTGTGATCAAGAATGAGAGGATGACCTCTGACAGCAACCAACAAAATCTCACATGAGAAAGGTTGATGAACTGATTAAGGACAATCAGCAGATCACTAAAATGGAAATTGCTGTCCAGCTTGGCATCTCAAAGGAACGTATGGGTCACATTATTGATGTTCTTCAGTACTAGAAGATTTCTGCAAGATGAATTGGAAGATATTGTTATTTATGTATGAATATGGTTTTTATTGTATTTTTATTCTATTTTATTGTATTTTAATTAATATTTATTTTTTATTTTTACTGTAAACTGCCCAGAATCACTTTCTAGTGAGATGGGCAGTAACCAAATTTGAAATATATATATTCCTCACATGTTGACAGCAAAGATGAAACTTAGGAGCTGAAATTTGCCAGCAATTCTTGTCATTCTACAAGAATGAAGGTGAGGAATCTTTACAACATTATGACAGCCAACAAAACATGGACTCATCATTATTACCCAGAAACAAAGCATTGGTTCACAGAATATCATCACAGAGCTTCACTTGTGGAAAAAGATTTCAAAACCAGGTATCAGCATGAAAACTCATGGTTACAGTTTTTTGGGACACAGATGGAGTTATTCACATGGATTTCCTTGAAATTGGCACTACTATCAACTCACAACACTATATTGCAACACCCAAAACTTTGAAATAATTAAGCACAAGAAGGATTTTTTGCTGCAACATGACAGTACTAGGCTACATACCTAATTAAGCCACCCATCAGGTAATTGTGAAATCCTACCCCATCCACCATACAGTTCAGACTTGGCACCATGTGACTTCTACCTTTTCCCCAAATTTGAAAGAGTACTTTTGTGGGCATCTGTTTGATGGAAAGGAGGAGGTGGGAAGGAATGTCAGGAACTGGTTGAAAAGACAAAGCATAGAGTTCTTTTGTGATGGATTTAGGAAGCTTGTCCATCCTTGGCAGAAGTGTGTAGAAATCATCTTGATAGTGATTATATGGAGAAGTAAATACAGGTAATAAAAGAGCTCATTCCAAGGATTTTTCTTCTGTTTCATTTATTAAAATATACTATTTAAACTAAATTATAGAGGTAGAGGTATTACTCTTCATTCAGCCCTCAGAGAAAGCTTCCACAAGAAGAAGATTTATTTGAAGCCTATATTGATTTACAAGAAATTATCAGAGAGATAACATAAAAGTACTGTAACTAATAAAGCAGATTTAATAACATACAGGAATCAGATAATTATTTAGGTTAAGGAAGGATATTGATATTGGTACTAATGGCTTCACATTAGCAAACCTACAAGTACAAAATTCTACTTTAGTTTCTTTATCAGCCTTGTTGGGAAATAGTAATGTACTGTCACAGTCATGGAACTTACAGAAATAATTTCCAAGAAATAAATGATTTTGGCCTTTGAGGCCTTATGCCAGTGGACTTTTTATCAAAACTTAATTGTAGAGTTACATCATTCCTTTGCTGGTTTGATGTAAATACTATAAAGTTGATCCTCTAATTTGCATTTGTAGGCATCCTGTCAGAACAATGAAATGGGAGACCCATAAACCTACAAACTCAGTTTTCCCTCTTGGCTGTCTTTTGAAACTCATTGATGTCACTTCCTTCCTAAGTTAGCAAGTGATTTTTTCTTTAATTCTTAGTCCCAGCTGTCTATGTTGTCAACACAAAGTTATTAAAATTCCTTTAAAGTGAATAAAAATAGCCTAAAAACAAATGTACTGGGAAGCAGGAAAGCATCAGTATTCAAAGTCCACAAACCTTTGAGCAAAACAGAGTTGATCCAAGTAGAGATTGAAAACACTGGTCTTTCCTAGCATCTTGTACATCATTAAAGGTTGTTTAAAATACATTTGCCTTAATCTTTTATTACGCCCAAAAAAAGAGTGCCTTATCTGGTAAAAAGAAGTAGCCTCAAGATGTGAATTTTCACGATGTTCACAGTGAACTCTATTGCCTACTGAAAGTCTGCCTAAATAATGTTTAATTTTCTTTCTCAAAGCAAAAAAAAAAAAAAAAGTAACATATCTGCAAAACAAAATACTACACTATTATGCAGGAAGTAATTACCATAAAGAGGCAATCCTCTGTCATAGCCTAAAGCAATCTCGATTTTGTTTTATTTTTTAGGAAGATTATTGTTTTAGGAGATCATTAGGCAAGTTACTTTCATACTTGCATCACTGGACTACTTTTTATCCCATTCCATCAACTTACTCGATTTTGAACATAGATATTTTATTTTTATTGCATTTATTTTTAAGGAAGCTCAAGATGACTAGGTAGTTCTTCCCTCTTTATCTTCTAAGTGGTATGGTAGATGGTGACTGTTCCACTTAGTTCTGTGCCTAAGTGGAGATTGCAGACTTGGGTCTTTCTGATAATAGTGTGACATTCTAACCTCTACAACACACTGGTTGACATTCCCTCTTCCACAGAAATGGCTATAAACTTTGCCCCACTACTGAGTTGCCGTGTTATTCACCTAGGTTTGAGTCAGCAGAAAATTAGACTGGCATGAAATTTGCTGTCCCCATTGTCAACCCCTTATCCTGCTTCTGTTCCCAACAATTGCCCCATCACCAGACCATTCTCCAGGTACCGATGACAGAGCCTAACAGATGTTATATACCTTAAGGCTGCCCTTAAGAAGTAAGAAGTAAGATCCTACTTTAACACTGATACAGCTAAGAATGACTTAAGCCTAGATCATTCCATTAGGTGGACACCATGTTATTGGAACATAACAGAAAAAAAAAGATGCTGCCAGGGCATGCTTGGTTCATTGTTGGGTGTAAATAGAGACAGAACCTATATGGTACTTCTTACTAAACCAGTTGATTCCTTTGTCCGGACCTCTAGTGTCTACAGGGCTCTCTCTCTCCAAGTTTTCAATATATATTAAATTATTTACCAGGAATTGAGCTGGAATATTCTGATGAAAAGCATAGGCACCGCATGCAAGTTTTAAAAAAATGTTTTTTGATTTGTACTGGCTGTTGCAGATGCAGAATGTTTCTAGGAAACCCTGGGAAAGGTGGTGAGCACTTATGGATGGAGACTTTGTTATTCTAATTAGTTGTTCACTATGTATTTAGCAAAGCAGAAATGGGTTGTCTTTTGTTCTATAGCCATGAATACACAGCAAGATAGAGATCTCTGTCCTGATCAGCATAAATGTATTCAGAATAAAAATATTAAAAACCAAAAAGAATCTTTATGAGGGGGTGTTAATAACATAAGATCTGACTAGAGTATACCTTCGTTCAACTAGTCAGTTCATTTAGACCTGCAAGCTTTTGAAAACATCTTATATTTTTAAAGATATAACTCATGAATTTTGATAGAATTTCCTCATGAAACAAAAGAAGCCAAAGTCTTTATTAAATATGCTGTTCTGTAGGTTATGTGAATCAGAAATTAATTCATCTGTCATCATGCAGAGAAAAGTTGCAGTTCTGCAAAGAGGGTGGCAAATCTTCAACATTCAGTGTTTCAACAGAAGCAAAAAGAATATTTGTTTGATGATTTAAAACTGCCAGTTTAATAGTTTGCCTCATTTAGTTCTAAAAACTATGATACTGTCAAGCTGAAAAGGGAATGTCATCCATGTATGCTTGGTCCAGAATTTGTGATTGATGGAGTTTGACTAAAAATTCCCACAAACAATATGAAAACTTGTCAATAGTGAATACAACATTGTGAACATGAAAAGTAAAGAATATCCCCTTTTGTTTTCTTAATTTTGTTTTCCTTTATATCTTTTTAAATTATATAACTGTTAGGAAGGGATTAGAAACAATTCTAGCCTCTTACTATGTATCTTCATCTTTCAAAATGAACCTGCTGGATTTTCCTTGCTATTTTGGAAATATAAGAAGCTTTTGTAGCAGTGCAAGACTTTTAGTTACACATATTATTTATTAAATTAGGTAATATAGATTATCTCCAATGGTCATTCATTTGTTCATTCATTCATTCTTTATTTATTTATTAAAAGGGATATTCCTTTTTGTAATATTTAATTATGTGTAGGATTTGAGACTTGCACAAAAGTAAGTATAAATATGAATATTATAGAAGAACTGCAGTATAAATATGAATATTATAGAAGAACTGTTTAAAAATTTGTTCTCCTAGTTAACCCCTTAGTGAGGCAGATCTGTAATATTATGGCATGAAAATGTTCCTGGAATCCATTTTGGATCATGCACACTGGAAGTAAATTAACCAAGAAACCCAGTATTTTAGATATAGTGAGATTGCAAAAGGTTCTATATATTTGGACCATACGCTACTAAATGTAGTAATTCATGTGTGAAAAATCAATTCTCTATGTTATAAAATATGAACTATTTAACATGATAGTGGTGTATGTCTGTTTGACCTGTTGTGAGGTTTTGTTGATGATGGCTATCTTACAGAATGAGGATCAAGAGATTAAACAAGAAGTAGTTCACATATATGGGACAAGTCATTATTGTCCATTCTCATATTTCTCACAATGCTTCAGTTGATGTTTTAGCAATCTTCCCTAACTGTTTTGGCAGTTAGATGTTTTGGCACTATGACTCCCACAGTTCTCACTGACCATGATGGTTAAGAATTCTTGTAGTGATGATCCCAACACTCCTTAAGGCCTTTTTTTTTTTTCCTTGACCTTGCTTTGAAGCCCATGTGGTCACTTTCTCTGAAGTAAAAACTTCTTTCTTTTTTTCAGGATTTGAAGAAAAAATACAACAGCAGACAATTAATCAGGTATTTCAATTTTTATATATATTTCAGTTGCAGAATTAATAAAATCTATACATTCTGCATTATTTATATGAGAAGAAATACACAAGAATTTGTGTATATGGGAAGAAATACACAAGAATCTTCAGCCAGATATTTTTGGTTTATCTTATAAAGAAATACACAAATTCCTCTAGGAACAGGCTGGAGACCAGGTAGCAGAAATCCAGGACTAAGATGATCAAGTGCAAGTCAGCACACATCAGTATGCCTATTGTTATGTAGCAAAAGCACCTATTTATTGCCACAGCCTCTAATAGCTGTACAGCATAGTTATGTGTTTGGGGGCAATTCATATAAAGGGACTGTTGAGACCATGGAAGCTGCGACTCTTTACAAGACAGTTTAAGGATAAATTTTAGCTGCAATGTACATATACTGGAGGTACTTCTGGAGCCACAGCTGTGACTGGAGATATAAATGGACTCTCTGACAAGGAGTGCCTTTGTTAGCTCTGGTTGTTTTACTAGATATAGCCAGGAATAACTGAGCCATAGAAATCCATGCAATGGATGGATTATTGCAGTGAGATACATGATAGGGCTACCTTTGAAGTCTAGTCCTGGAAACTACAGCTAATGTGAAATGTCCCAACTAGTTATTGAGAGGGTAACCCACTATGAAGATAGTAACCTGTTCTGAAGGAACCATTCTTGTTTGCTACTGAACCAATTCAAGGCAATCTTTAGGACATACAAAACTTACAGTGTATGGCATAGGATCTAAAGGCCCATCTGATCCCTAATATCTCTTGAGGGGGTTGCGTCGGTCAGTGGACTCTTATGCCATGACGCAAGACAAAATTCTTGATACAAATGGCCTGTTGGGTATTTCTCTCCCAGTTCCAATGTAGCTTGTACCACTACATGTAAGAAGTTGGACCAGCCTAAGATGTAACTCTTCACCCAAATCTTTAGTTAAACTGTTGCTGCTCTGCTTTCCAAACTAGTCAAATATTCTCATGCATCCTAGATTTAAGCTGTTTATGGTTATAAGCATGCTTTTTAAAAAAGTTTTTATTGAATTATTTATGCTTTTGTTGGTTTTATTATAAATAAATATAATTGTTCTCATTTTGGGGATCTGTATTTTTAATAATAAAAATCAAGTTTAAAAAACTATTTTAAAAAATTAAATCCTTTTAAGATGACTTAAATGACTGTTCAGACTCATACGAGTTCCCTCTGAAATGTGAGATTTTTTAACAGAAAATTCTAGATTATAAATAATAATGCAAATGATAGTAAGCTTTTCAAAACTAATTATTTTTAATCCAAGTAAGGGACTGGAATTAATGAAACTTAGAAAATGGCAGAACAGATACCACTGTTATGTGATATGAGAAATGTGATAGTATGTTATTTGTTATTGGTCTTCATTGGAAGAGTCATTGAAACATTTAATAAAAGTAGTGGGTTCTCAGAATGATTCTTTTTTTCTCTCTCTCTCTCTATAATAGGATACATAAATTCTTTTAGTTTATTAATCATTTTTTGAAAAAGAAAAAAGAATGAACAAGCAAAAGGGAAAAAGAAAAAACATTGATACAGAAATATAATATGTAGACAAAGGAATTACCACGATTAATTAATTAATTAAGTTAATGCTCAGTATATCCTTGATGAGAAATTAACCATAAAAAATAAAGTACATGAAATTATTTTAACAATGTCAGTAAGGATTTAAATCTCTGAATTAAGTGCCAAAATATCTAGTATTTGGAGGGAGGGAGGGAGGGAGGGAGGGAAGGACTACTGAAAACAATATAGATAAATACTACTCCCCTTTGTTGTAGTCCAAATAAAGGACAATATTTATAGACATTTAACATTTTTGTGTGTTTCTGATATTAATCCATTAGTTGGTTCTTTTTCCCCTTAAAAACTATACTCTCAATACTTACATTTGCCTTGCCGCATAATATGTAGGATGTATAAAAGCCATTCTTGCTTAAATTTGGTTAGATTTCTGTTGTGAATATATGCTGTTAATTTTGCCATTACTGCATATTCTCCAAGTTTAAGTTCCCAGTTTGATATCTTTGGTAATGTATTTCTTTCCCAATGTTGTACTAAATTTATCCTTGCAGCCATAAACAAGTATCTTAGTAAATCGTGATATTTTTTGTTAATCTTTTTTTCTAGTACTTTTTAGTTTTTTTACATGTCCACCACATATGGTAAAGTATTCCTTCTCTCATGGCATTTCCAACATTTATTACTGTATGATTTGTCTATCTTGGCACTTATTGATGGAATTGCATACCATCAATTTTATTGTATGCCATTTTATGCTAGTTTTTTCTAGGTTATAACTAGGAGTAAATTTTATAGATTTGTTCCAAAATTCTTCCATTGTTGTGTTGCGATGGTTTCTTTAACATTTTGCATCCATTTTATCACGCAATTTTTTTTTCTTCTGTCTCTGTATTATATTTGAGTAGCAGTTTATATACGTACTCTAATAGGTGGTCTTGATTCTGTATGAGCATTTCAAATTCTTTCATTTTTTTCTTAGAAGCCCTCCTTCATTTTTGAGTTGTTTTAATTTATTCCAGGAATTTGTAGATACAGTACATCAACCATGGTATGTCCCAGCTTTCACCAAGTAGTTCTTGGTGTGTCTTTGGTCTGCTCGTGGAGGCTAAATAGACCATATCTGCATATGTAATTGCACTTTTCTTACTGTAATTATCTCCAGCATGAAAAGCATTTAAAGGAGAAACTAACAGTGAGATTGTTGGACTTAATTTTTTTCCATGTAAGGTTCCATGCTGTTACCAAGTTTTGTCTTATAATATGTCCTTTTAAATTTTTGTCCTCTTTCTTATCCCTGTACCATAAGTATCTATGAAGCTTATAGCCCCTTCCAATGTTGGCTCTCTATTGGTTGGGGATTTTATCCATTCTATTAGCCATGACAAACTGCTTGCTCTATTCTTCCTCATAGGTTGATAGGTATTTTCAGCCATCTATCAATATCACCAATAATTTGTGCTATACAATTTTAAAGATTTAGATCTACCAACAAAGATATTTCCCTAGGGATAATTATCCTCAAACATTTAAAAAAAAATTTCCATAAAAACCTGATTACCTACTGGCAAAACATTAAACTTGTTCCAATTTATGGTATATCCAGAAAAGTTACCACCTCAACAACATTATATAAAAAGCTTTGGAAATCATTAAAAAGGCCTGGAATATCATTAATGTATCTAAAAGTGTTGAAATTGGAAGAAAATGTTCTCTCTCTCACACACACACACACAGACTTTTGTTAGAAATGTTTTTTGAAACAAAGCAATATAAAGCAAAATATTTTTCATACCTTGATCACTTTTTCTCCTCTCTGGAAGGTCAGGCTGTACACCTATATAATTTTCTTTTGTTTTTAACAGGATTTCAGAAGCTATTCTACAGAGGAATCTGAAAAGCCAACAAAAAAATGGATTGTAGGAAGGTATTTCCACAAAGACAGTAAAGCTTTGATTGAGAGTGAAGATTCTCAGGAGTCTAATCTTTTTTTAGGAACAGAGGATTCTTTGACCACTGACTTTTCTGAAGACCCTCAGAAGATTCTTAAACAGCTCAAAGAAGTGAAATTATCATCCACCATGCGTCCTTTAAATAAGTTCTTTGTTAGGGACAATCACTGGAAAACCACTGGTGAGATACAGGAGAGGCGGAGAATTTTTCTTCATGATTTCTGCAAAAAACTTGTTAATGTAAACAGAACCCATACTCCTCTTGTGCGCATGGTCTCTAGAATATACGTAGAAGATAAATACAAACTCTTGTATTGTGAAGTTCCTAAAGCAGGCTGTTCCAACTGGAAAAGGACTCTGATGGTACTCGGTGGCCTCGCAAAATCTGCTACTAATATTTCCCATGATACTGTACATTATGGAGATCATTTAAAGAAACTAGATAGTTATGACTTAAAAGATATACGTAGGCGTTTAAGAACGTATACCAAAATTATATTTGTACGCGATCCAATGGAAAGATTGGTGTCTGCTTTTCGGGATAAGTTTGAACATCCAAACAGTTACTACCATCCTGTATTTGGGAAGGCAATTATTAAGAAATACAGACTCAATGCAGATAGAGAGGCTTTGACAACTGGCTCAGGAGTGAAATTTAAAGAGTTTATACAATATCTGTTAGATCCCCATCGGCCAGTAGGGATGGATACTCATTGGGAGCAGATCAACAAACTTTGTTATCCTTGCAATATCAATTATAATTTCATCGGCAAATTTGAAACTCTGGAACAAGATGCCAATTATTTTTTGAGACTAATAGATGCTCCAGATGAGCTGATATTTCCTCATTTCAAAGACAGACATTCCACTGACAGAAGAACTAATTCAGAAGTTGTAAGGCAGTACTTGGCAGAAATTCCTGCCACAGAGAGGCAGCAGGTTTATGACTTTTATGACCTCGATTATTTAATGTTTAACTATACTGTACCATGAGTGGAATCCTAATTTGATGTAATGCATAATCAGTTTTACCTATAACTTGTGAGAAAAAGTACAATTTCTTAAAGGGAGATGTTTTGATTTGCTAAAATTTTCATAAATTTAAGTGCCTAGTATTTAGGAAACCGCATATTGCACTGGGATGTCTGGGAGAAAATTAATTTCATATTAGAAAATTTTAGAATATAATGCAATATAACTAACACAAATGGTATTAAAACAAGTGTATTTATTCCATTGCTGCAAATGCATTTTTCTACATTCTAGGGAACAGCAATTAAAAGCTGGATTTATAAATCTGAGAGTAAATCTTTTATTATCAATCAAATAAGGAAATATTAGAGAAGAGTGAATATGTGTGTTCTCAGAGAAACATATGCAATGGTTCTACATTAGCTTATCTGTCTGGAAACCCCATTTCTGTCTGGGCAGATAGTGCCCAGAAATAATATATATTGCACATTCCAATTTTCCTAAAACTACTTTCAGAAAATAAAATACCTAGTTTCACTACTGTAAGACAGTACTGTTTTAACAAACAGTTGCCCATTGTACACATCACATAGTAATTTTGACAACAATCTGAATAGACCTTTAACATCTATTTGTTTAGTATCTAAATTCTTCACACTTTCTATTGTATACACCCTTTGTTTGACATCAGCTACTCCAAATATAAATTGTTTACAATATTACTTATTAACATCCATTCCATTATCTGGAACCCCTTTCTTCGGCATCCTTGTGTTTATTGCTGCAAGACCAGATAATTTTGCTTCTATTTGTTTAGTAACCATTTTAAGCATTTTTAACTGTTCTCAAATTAATACCTCATAATAAAGTGTCCTGTATTTCTTTGAGGGGAGAAAGTTAGCAATTTCTTAGCATTATTTCTGACTTAAGAAATCTGTTATTCACTTAAACTCCAAGATCAATATCCCAAAGCCTACTTTCCCACATACTGCAACTCTATCTAACTTGTATTTAATGTTATGTCTTAATAATACAATTTTCATTTATTTGAAACTATTGAATTCTATAGAAAAAAAGAACATTACTGTTGAACAAACAAAACAATTCTCCTTTCACTGCAGGAGTCCATTCTTGTTCCTTGTCCAGTATAAGCAAAATCCTTTCAAATTTGCCTTAATTTAATATGAACAATGGTTTGTGGGATGAAAACTAGTCTTATCTGGCTACCAGGCTAATCATTAATCAAGTTAGGGATGCTGAAATGGATTGTGTCCATACAACAAGCTGAAACACAAACTAGCTAACAACATTTCAAGTTGTGTGTTGTATAAATCCTACGTGTGGTTAGTGGTCAGTATCTTGTGTCCATCTAGAAAATAAGATTAATTGATAAAACATTCTTAAATTAATTATAGACAAATAGTGTAGTTTATGAATATAGTTAATAACTTAACATGGACAGACCAGGGTTCAAGTAGTAATAAACAACAGCCAAAGTCTGGTTCCAAAAGTGAATCCAAGCTCAAATCAAGGAGTACAGCAAGGCCAGGTATTAATTAGTAACGTAATAGCCTTCAGCACAATTAGTTCAAAATTCAGACCTAAGTGCTACCAGTTCTGCACCATTCTTCAAATAGGCTTACATTAAGCTATTTAAAATAAACTCCTGCTAGTGAGTAGGTCCTTTGGGACTGTATGCAGCATCCTGCTTACTGTCATGTCACATGACCTTTCAAACCTACCCATTGTTCTTTTAGTTGATTATGTAAGCTGGGAGAAGAGGGAACACACTTTTATTGCAAGCAGTTATTTCTGACAGGAGCTGAGGGCTGATTGCTGCCAGCAGGAAAGAGAAAGTTGGCTAGACATAAAAAAAGAGGGGTTTTAGTAGGAGAAGAAAGATGGCTAGAAAACTTTGGAATGAAGTAGCAGTTTAAACAGATGAAAGCGAACGCAAGAGTTGCTAAAGTGATCCAAAAGGGACTCAGAGACTCCTGAAAATGGGATGGAGAGATCAACCATTGTGGGACCTCACCTGTGTCCCAAGATCAGTTTTGGTGGAAAAATTCACAAGAAGCTTTGAGATGCTATGTAGCATCGGTTCACATGAAGCCCTCATGGTAAAGGTAGTAGCAGCTCTGGAAAGATTTGAATAACTTAACAATGCAACCTTGTGAATAAGTCAGAGATAAGGAAAAAGAGAATTTGCCCCATATCATCCTGCTAATACCCAGAGAATTTTGCAACTGTTGTAGGAGGCAGAGAGGCCATGTACCTATGCTTTTACAAGGCAGTTAGCTAATGTGCTGGTGAAGCAAAGCGTAGCCAAGCCAAAAGCTGAGATTTTGCCAGTGAGGGAGAGAGAGGAGAATAAATCTTCCAAGGGGGAAGACAATTTTACCACTGCAGGTATGGGAAATAATAATTTATTAGATTTTTAAGGCCAAATCAGAAGGCTCAGAGCATAGTACAAGGTTAAGCCATCATGAAAATGCACAGTCAAATACAGAAATAGTAGTACCCTTGAGAAATACACCAAACAAGAAAGTTTCAGACACGCGTCATCAATTAAGCAGGATCACAACTCACCCAGCCTCCAGCCTCTTTGAAAAGCAACTTTTTTCAATGCTTCTCTAAAGAACAGGAGGACTGGGGCCAAATGGGCCTTGAGGAGCAGCAACAGAAGAGGCACAGGCCAGAGATGGACAGCAGCCGGTCCTGGTGCTAAACTCAAGTTTGCTAAAAACCTTCCCAGAGCAGTTGAGGGAGGGGATCAGATTCAACCATTTTTAGAAGAAGAAGGTAGTGATTGGATAAAATTGTTCTGGAGAAATATCAGAAAATGTCCTGACAGGCTGAGAAATTGCCAGCCAAGCATAATCAATAGAAACAGATGTAAATGCCTTAGATCAATACTGGTAGGCTTAAAAGGGAATCTGCATTGTTGAAAGAAATGCTTCTCAACTTATTTACTCTCAAATAAATAAAAAGGAAAAAATTCACAAGAAGGATTTTGTGTGCTGTATGTTGGATTATTTCCCATAAAGCCCCAAACCCTGGTTACACCTTTACTTCTAATTTTTGTTACAAAGAGGCATGTACTACATCAGTGTTGTCCAAACTTGGCCACTTTAAGATGAGTGGACTTCAACTCCCAGAATTCCCCAGCCAGCATG